CAGAAAGTCTGGAAGCCATGCCTTTGACCTCTAAAAAATTTGCTCTAGCACAGCCCAACGGCTCCACTCTACTAGTTTCCACTTAAAATTCCTCCTCATGAGAGAGCATAAAGTACCCTTAAGAATCACTTGTGAAACAACAAAAGGTTGAGAGACCAAAAATTAAAAGAGAACGACAAATGCACAATATTGCCACGAACGTGTAGGGCGGTCGACCGCATTTAACAAAGACCTGTCAAGTATTTATCTCAAAGATGTCAACAATCATGGATTTAACCAATCATATCATGATACCAGGAGCTGGTATCATAGAACAGTGGCATCAATAGAATGTCTACAGGCTCCCTCGCTTCGTTTGGGCTCACTACACTGGGAGCCTGTTCGCAGGCTACTTGAAGATACGAAATTTCTCTTCTCATGTTGAAAAATATTTCGCTCATTCGCTGCGCTCACTTGTAAAATATTTTTCAACACTCTAGGTAAGAGAAATTTCGTATCTCCACGCGGCCAAGTAATTTCCTCTATTTATTGTGCAGTAAAAAGTAATTTGCTGTTTCAACATACTGTGTATTTTCATGCTGAAAGGAGTTCTTCTTATGTTTAGANAACATATTTTGTAATACTGAATTGAGCCTAAAGAAATTATAAGCACAGGATAGAGGTGTCAAACACCGCAAAGCGACATGCAGTGAACAACAGAAAGTCTGGAAGCCATGCCTTTGACCTCTAAAAAATTTGCTCTAGCACAGCCCAACGGCTCCACTCTACTAGTTTCCACTTAAAATTCCTCCTCATGAGAGAGTATAAAGTACCCTTAAGAATCACTTGTGAAACAACGAAAGGTCGAGAGACCAAAAATTAAAAGAGAACGACAAATGCACAATATTGCCACGAACTGTAAGAGTCGTGTAGGGCGGTCGACCGCATTTTACAAAGACCTGGCAAGTATTTATCTCAAAGATGTCAACAATCATGGATTTAACCAATCATATCATGATACCAGTAGCTGGTATCATAGAACGGTGGCATCAATAGAATGTCTACAGGTTCCCTCGCTTCATTCGGGCTCAGTACACCGGGAGCCTGTTCACAGGCTACTTGAAGATACGAAATTTCTCTTCTCATGTTGAAAAATATTTCGCTCATCGCTGCGCTCACTTGTAAAATACTTTTCAAAACTCTAGGTAAGAGAAATTTCGTATCTCCGTGTGGCCAAGTAATTTCCTCTATTTATTGTGCAGTAAAAAGTAATTTGCTGTTACAACACACTGTGTATTTTCATGCTGAAAGGAGTTCTTTTTATGTTTAGAAGCTGGATAGATGTGTGGGATTTATTGTCTCAAGAATGCCGTGATGAGGTATGGTATACAGTTGTAGTATGATGGCTGTATCAATATTAAGTAAGTTTTTGTTGAACCGTTTACTCTCTTTTGTTTACGACCTAAAACTGTACTGTGATAACATCTTGTTTTCAATTTAGGTGGTGTTGATTGACTCTGATTCTCTTCTGGACACACTAGAGAATTATCTAAGAAAGCACCGATTTTGCACTGAATGTAAATCAAAAGTTCTAAGAGCTTATAGTATTTTGGCTGGAGATTTAGACGGGCCAAGTGAAAAAGGGTGAGTAAAAATATAAATGTAGTGTAGGATTTACATGTATCATATTATGGCTTTTACACAGTGGCCACTAAATCTGGTGCCACTTAGATGATGACATTCATCCAAGGCATTGAAGAAGAAAATTACAATCATATAGCTTGCATGGGGTTTAAATGGTTATAGTTGCACATCTACTAGTTGACTTTCTGTTTGGTCAATTAGCAAAAGTTGAGATGCTGAATGAATGTTAAATTAGTTCAACAGTGATAGTGGCTTTTGTTGCTTTAGTATTGGATGCACTTGGGACGTTTGGAGTGTACTCAAGAAGCTAGAGTTGCTCTTGGCTATGCCCCAAGCAACTTGAACTCTAACGCTTCTTTTGTGCTCTGCAGACTCCTGTTTGTATCCATAATTTGATAGATGCAGCTTTAAACAAGTGTTGATTCTCAATAAAAAATGATGATTTTGTAAATTCTCTTCCTTCATCTGCTTGACAGTGTATTGGTATTTGTGATGATAATTGAATAGATCTAGAAATGTAAAGTTTTCTGTTCCATTCATTTATCCTGCAGTTATTGTGCTGCTTTGTATGATGGTCTCAAGAGCTGTCCTCAAGAGCGACATATCCATGTACTCTGTGACACAGACTACATTGCGCATTTAATTGGACGGGCAGAACCGGAGTTAGCTGGAGGGTGAGCAGTGTAGCAGTTGCATTCTTGTCAAGTGAAAGCTTTACGTGCTTCATTCAGGGGTTTCATAAGAGCTGGGCACTGGGCAAATTGTCCAGCGATGAGGACGATTTTGCTCACCTGGTTTGACCATCTAGCTGAAAGTTTTCCTTGTAATCAAGATTAGATCAAAACGTTTTGTCCTCCTGTGAAAACCAGTGTCCCTCCTGCTGTAAACGTCAATGAAAGCCTTCATATGTGTAGGCCCTGTACTTGTATCTCTAACAATTGTGCTAATTAAGGAAATTGATTTAGCTGAGTTTTGGTATGGGTTGGAGTGTTAGAACAAATTGTGCCAATGTTTTTCTCCAGTGAATTAAGACAGAAGTTAACTGGATTTTTAGATAACTTAACTTGTTTCATCTTTAAGTAATTAAATCTCCTCGCCATGATGACGGCATTTGGTATTTCACTACACCCACTGATAGTTTATTAAAGGGTTCTTTGGCTTATCTCCAGGTCATGGGTCTGATTAATTTCATGTATGTCTTGATTTATTGCAACCTGACTGCATTTGCATTATTGTTTTTCTACAGGAGAAGAGAAAGGCATGCCAAGACACTAGACATTGCTCAGGAAGAAGTAAGGAAATTCTCCTTTAATTAAATGTTAATTGATGTGTTTATCATGTTTACTATTCTGCTTGGACAGAAGCGAGAGGGCATCATCACATGCAATTGCTCTATCTTCTATTAGCCAACTCGAAGAGAAAGAGAAGGAATTTTCTACCTTGTAGGGTATACGTTGGCAGCCCCCTCCCCCCCCCTCTCTCTCTCTCTCTCTCTCTCCCCTTGCCACCTTTTGGATTTCTCCACTAGGAACAGGCGTGACACCAGACCCAGTTTTCTGTTGTGTGAAAAACGCAAGATGCCGGCTAGAGGCTGGTGGGAAGGAGCCAAAGAACACCTCAAAAATACTTCCCGTCACCTTTTGAGACTTCATTTTATCGCAAAAGATGACTGGAAACCACTTA